GATTCGCAGGTGCTCAACTTGGGGAAAGAAAGAGTATGTTTTCTTGTCTTATGGTTTGGCTCATTGTGATTTTCGTTTGCTATAATAGGCGATTTAATTTGATTTACTTTGTGTCAATAGATTGAAGTTGCATGTCAAGTTATTTTGATTGATAATATTTATTTGTTTATTTCATGTTGCAGCTAAAAGTATTAACAACATGAGCTTGGTTGTACCTTATCCATCCTTAAACTAAAGACATCAGAATTAGAGGTAAGGGGGAATATTATATTTTCATAGTTTGTTTGCTCCTCTCTTAATCTCTATGGTGATATATATTTTTTCTTTACTCTAACTTAGGAGAAAGAAAAATTGATCAAAGATCTCCTTAACAAAATTGGCTCAGAGGTATCCAATGGCTTGATTGATAATATTTATTTGTTTATTTCATGTTGCAGCTAAAGGTATTAACAACATGAGCTTGGTTGTGCCTTATCAATCCTTAAACTAAAGACTTCAGAATTAGAGCTAAGGGGGATTATTATAGTTTCATAGTTTGTTTGCTCCTCTCTTAATCTCTATAGTGATATATATTTTTTCTTTACTCTAACTTAGGAGAAAGAAAAATTGATCAAAGATCTCCTTAACAAAATTGGATCAAAGATCTTTTTTTGCTCATATTGTTATTTTTCTTTCTACAAATGGCAAAAGATAGGAAGCACCAAGTGTGAAGAGGTTGAAGCAAATGCAACTCAACTTGCTAATGACAAGAAAATCTGCAATCCCAATAAGAAGTGCAAGTTAAAACAACAGCGTAATTCAACTCACCACTATGTGTGAAATAAGTGGTTCTGCATCTGATTTCAAATCTCTATGTATTTGTTCTTCATTCTTATATCAGTTGTATGGTTCTGCAGCTTTAGGTCGTACCACTTTGGTTCATCAAGTGGCATCAGAGGGAAAGGTTGATGGTAGAAGGTAATTCATGTTTTCGATAAGCCTTGAATAATTTGTTAATCTTTAACGACAATATAAATTCTGATGCATTCTAATTAATGACAATGTAATTCCAGGAAAATATTGCCTTGTTGAAGCTTCTTGCAGAAAAGAAGTATGTAAATTGTAAAAAAATTACTTCTTGACTGAAAAATAGTCCGTCGAAATTCTTGGACCAGCTATCGATTGATATGGTTTGATCTGTTGTTTGTTTTGGCAGCAAAATCATAGAACTGAGTAGCACTGAGTTGCAAGATTGCAAGAAGATCCTACAGCGATCGGAGGAAATCTTTAGACACTATGGATTTGTAAATCCGGACACCTATTCTTTCCTTAAACCATACGTTCATCATCCCCTTTCTACTCCCACCGATAGTTGTCTTAGTAACTCCATGCTTATGTTTCATATGACATAACAGCAAAGTAACTTGCCAATTCTGCAATCCACGCAATTAATATTACTTGTTGGTGCTTCTTGCGATCATGTCTTTAACTCCTTGCAGCGTTCTTGCAATCGCCAGGACTCAATTCAAGTTCATTCACGTACAAACTTTGCCACTAGTCCATCCCACTGATGTCTTCAGGAATTATGCTTACATCTGCAATGAAAATGTTGGTCAGGAGACCTATGTATATATACACAAGTTGCTCATGTGAAAGGGCATTTGGCCAAAATATATGTATATGGAAAGTATGTTGGTGCAAATTGGGATGGCAAGTAGTGATTGCAAAAACTATGTCTCCGTTTCCTATAAAACATGGGGCGGAAAACTATGGACATGTCGAGGTTTTACGTACCAGTATGGGAACTAATGCAGATAAAAGAAGAAAACCCACACATGGATTTGCATGCGAGCATCGTCAATGATGCGCATCGAGATGTGGGAGGAGGACAATGCATCTGAAAGAAGCATTTGATCTAATTAGTGCGAGTATCTTCTCCAAGTACAATTTGTTTGAGAATCAGAAGGAGATACTCGACGATAGAAGGAAAAGAGAGGAAGTGTGCATAATTATTTCCATCAAGGAGAATGATGTCTCTTTTACGTACGATTTATGTGCGGAGAATTATGATATATGATTTATGTTGTGAATTATGATATACGATTTATGTTGTAGGATAAGAGTCGAAAACTCTCATCCCGATAAGACTCGTGTTGTCTTGAAGCAGAGTAGGACTATGCTAGGAAAGCAATGATTAACCTTCGTCACAAGCGGATATAGTAAGATTTTATCATCATATTGGAGATTGGACCATGTGGACTTAGAAAATATAGGCTCGATCTTACCAAAACACCATGACATTCTATGCGCCATGTCATCTAGAGTGGACCTATATGATCTCCGAAGACAATGATGTAGCACAAATGTACCAATACGAGGGAGTAGAGATCCTCGTTTATCGAGAGGCAAGTTTTATCATCAAATATTCACAAGATACGTACAAGTTTACATCAGAGAGGGTTTTAACTCATGAAACGACCATGAAAAGGAGGCAAAACAAAACATGTCAGGGTTTTCGTAGATCAATTAAGGACGCACTATCATGGACAAACTTCTAAACAGGATGTTTGATGTAATGCTTATGTATATCCGTGTCTTTTGATATGTTCATGCTTTGTACAGCATGTAGAGGGACGACCGAAGGCTTAATAGTCCCATTTTAGTTAGGTTGGTGGTCGCTTTAGGCTTGTAAATAAAGATTGTATCATGTGGACACGTGTGAGAGATTTTCGATCTGTAATGGATCATTTTACCCTTTGTTGTGCAACTATTCAGAGCTTGTAAAGTCTGTTTGTAATTTGCATTGTCTATGAAGTGTTTTCGGAGATGTTTGCTTGTGGATCCCGAGTGAGCCATTTTCTCTATCCCGTTCTCTCTTTTGTGGGTCTTAAGGGACCATGGGAGGCTTCGGGGAGACTGACCTTTGCGGAAGGACACGCAAGGGTGCCGTACGACTTAGGCAAAACCAGCTAAGTCCATGACAGATGGTATCAGAGCGGGACAAGCACTCATAGAAACACTTAGCATGTAAAACGTGGGGGACCTAGCGGGGTTGCGTTGAGGATAGTCAGCACACGCACGACCGTTTGGGGGAAAACGGGCATGGAGATGTAGGGAAAAGGAGTCGCTCGGAGGAGCGGGCATTTGAGATTGGCATTCAGAGGAATGACCAACCCTTCGTGCAAGAGGCACCACGAGAACAAACAAGCTTGGAAGAATGCGGAGCACATAAAGGTTGGGATGGCTGAGTTTGAACTACGGCTCAACGTTGACAACTATACTTGATGGTGCTCAAGGCAAGCGAGGCGCTTGGTAAAGGATGAGATCATCCAAGGTGGAATGAGTTGCTCAGCGACCGAAAGAGTTGTGCAAAGCTTACAGAGGTGAGGGGAATTGCTAACTCAAAGAATTCGGTACTCATGCATGGGCTTGTATGCGAACGATGGAATGTTCGCAGCCATCCCAAGGTGACCGAAACTCGACGCCATGGAGCATTGAAACTTTCTCTTCGACATGTGAAGGATACGTCCGTAGGAGGCTGAAGTGTGCAACAAGTTCAACATGTTGCTAGGCCTTGAGTGGTGCAGCGAGGGCTGTATTGACGTGGAGTCATAATTTAGCAAGTGTGTTTGCAGGAGGTAAAATAATGCATAGTTTGTTCAGCAGATCGGAGTAGTCCAAGGGGATGGTGGTCTCCGAAACGATGAGAGATGTTGCTCCAACGGGATAGTTATCCAGGAGGGATAAGTCCCGGCTCTCTAGAGGGAGAATCATGTGGGACGGACCTCACAAGTTGAGGAGGAGTACCTCAACAAACAACAACTCCATAAAGCTCAATGGACTGAGCAAGCGGCGAGGAGTCGTCGCATGATCTCCCTTGAGAGAATGCATTGCGAGATCAAGTGGGGGAGCGACCTAAAGCAACACAAATGAAGGCACACTTGGAGTCGATATGGAGATCGGACTCAAGGGAGGGCTGACCCGTGGAATGGTGGGCGCGAGGGCCACCATCAACTCAATGCAAAAACGAGGAGCGGAGCAACTTAGGTGTAACTTGGCGAAGTACCCAAGCCGCATGAAGGGAGCCAGCAGCATAGAAGATGAAACATGGAGCGGAGGCATAGTGCTTTCCTTGGACAGAGGTCAAGGACATGAACTCTTGTAGAGGCAAGAGCATGATCATGTTGTTCCATGGGTCATTCATTCTGACAGAGCGGACTCATCTTGCATGGTGCCAAAGACGAAGGGAGCATTTGGGCACATGCACTTTATCTCGGAGGAGCATTTGATGGAGGAACTAAGGCGACTCAATTTGCGGAGGCGAAGTTGGGTTTAGAAGGCCTTAGCACGAGGCAAGAGGATGCAGAGGCGGGTACTCTTGAAGAATATGCCACAGTGTTGCCATTCAAGTTGCTATGAAGGAAGTGGTGCGCAGCGAAGATTGTGCTGGTAGGGGTAGAGGCCCAGGATCCAGACAATGGTGCACTAATTGCAGCGAAGTCGAAGGACTTCAGGAGCTACTAGGTGACGGACTATCCTAGAGCGGTACTTCATCTAGGTGTGACCCAAGAGTGGGTGGATGAAGGTCGATTGCCAAAAGGAGTGAACAACAGCTAAGGTGGAAGAGGCCATGCAATGTATTAGCAGAGGCCACACATGAAGGGTTTACAATTTAAGTTCATCACACAAGGATCAGAATGCAATAGAGATGTCACTAGGAGGCGACATGGTGCAGCAGATCGTGGTGGAATAGTTCGTGGCAATGCGATACACACAACCTAGTCCCGTAAGGGACTAGATCATATGGAAGTATAATCGGGAGCTACTGGAAGCTCCACTTCAGTGATCAACACGACGGCAAGAATGGCTATGGATTCAAGGAGTGAAGGCCATGGTACCGCAAAGGCGGGTCTTCTGTGCGTGCATTGAATTTTGCATAGGATAAAAACCTTGGTCACCAGCATATGGGGGTTGTGTTCCACCAAGGGAAAAGTTCAAATGCAAGTACCAGTGAGTCTCATGGGAGGGACTTGATCATATAGAGGTATGATCGGAGCAGTTGGAGAGTTGGACTACTCCAGAGCCTATATTCGCTTAAGGGAGCTCGACAAGTCAAAGGACAAGGTCGAGTAAGCGAACGTTGCTACCAAGGAAGCTAAGGAGAACAGAATCGGTGCAAACCCTATAATGCGATGGCAGAGGCCATGCATGAGAGTTGCAGTATGTCTTTCCATCGACCCAAGGGAGCTGCTTGGAGAACACAAAGGTGTTGAAGCAGGAGGTCGAAAGGGGCGAGGAAGCGACGATGAGTCCAGAGGGACTTAGCTACCCAAAATCAAGCATCAGTTAGAATGGAGGTGGACTCGGAGGAGTGCCACAGAGACATATCTACTGATTGTGAAGAAAAGGGATGCAGATGCGAGGCGACGAATAGTAGTGCCATGGGCATGGCAGCGCCATGGTACCGTAGAGGCGGGACTTCCGTGAAAGTCATTGATCCCTTGCTCTCATGGAGGGAGAGCGCTTGGTCGTGAAAGGGGCCGAGGAGGTGGAGCATACAGAGGCAAACTCCAAGTATCGTGGCAAGGCTGAAGGGCAGAGTTCAAGGAACTTCGTAAGACTGGTGTCAATGAGTTTCTCATCAAGATAGCCGAAAGTAAAGGACTTCGGGTCATGCAAGAGCGCGTGACCAAGGAATGAAGCAGGCAGTACGCGGTGCTATACCTTTGCTACTCATGGGAGTAGGCGGCAGGGTTGATGGAGAAGACGGTACAATCCTAGAGGCGACTAAATCTATTAGAGAATTACTCCAAGTTGGGGTGAAAACTTCCTGTATTCCAGAAGTTCGATGGCATTGAGAAGGTGAATCACAGTAGCTAACTCAGCGTAAGGAGTGCAAACACTTCAAGTGCTTTAGAAGTGTGAGTAAAGAGCAGGCGAAGGCCAGTAACTAGCTCGATACATGGAGTACAACCTCGAGGAGGTGGGCGAAGTTAAGTAACCTTTGCCTTCTCAACTCTTAAGAGAATGGGCGAAACCGAGTACCCCAATTCTCTTATCTATCCAACAAAAGAGCTCTGCATATGTTCAAAGACTCTTAGAAGATAATGGAAGACAATAGTTGTCAAATCCTCACCAACGGTGATCAGTGTTACTGAGAGTAGATTGTCCGCTTCATTTCAACGAAATGCCAATCGAAAGTAGAAGTGATGCGAACCTACTTGGATGTGACAACTAAGTGAAAGAAGAGTCAATGAGCAAATTTTATGAAGGAATGACCCAAAACTTTAGAAGTTTGCGAGACGATGCTCGTTAAAGCTCCAACAAGCATTCACCCAGTTCAAGTAGCATGAGGCATTTGAGAGACTGGCACAATAAGGATGGTCTTTTTCTTCATCTGGAGGATCCACAGGAACTAATAGGGATCAACATAACTCAGCCAACCCCACACTACAGT